GCCGCTCCGCAGACCAGCGCGACCCCGACGGCTGGAGGAGGGAGGGGGAAAGCCTGGCCTGGACCCCGCCGGGCCGGGCCCTGGACAACCGGAATCTGACCGGCGGGGCCCAGAAGAAAACCCGGAGTAGTGACCAGCCTCGGGACCCAAGGGGGACAGGGACGAGAGGAAAACCCGGAGCGGATTCCCCTAGCGGGAGCGCCCCATGCCTGCCGCTGCCCCCCTCCTTCCTAGAGCCCCCCTAATTCTCCAGTGAGATAATGTCTGGGGTGGGGGGCTGTTTGGTTTGGCCTGGGCCCGCAGGGGCGCCTCACACTTTCCGCCCCTGGCTGGGACACGGCAGCAGCTCCGAGGCTGAGTCACGGCCGAGAGCGGAGGGAGGGGCCGGGACTCTGTCCCTCCCCTGCGCGGGGATCTCGGGTCAGCCCGGGTGAGGGCCAGGGCCACACTGGCACCGCCCATTGTGGTCCAACAGGTTGAGCTGGTGCCCGGCGGAGCCACCTGCTGGAAAGGGAGGGAGGCCCCCTGCGGAGGGGGTTGGGGAGGAGAAAGCGAGTCCCACCCAGTTCGGCCAGGCCGGCCGCGGGGAGCAGAACCGGGCCCGCGGTGTCCGAATTGGATTCCGTTTGACACTAGCGGGAGGGGCTCTTTGGGGTACACAGCACCGCAGGCCCAGCTGGAAGTATCCCTCACCGGCTACCTTCCTCCATCGGGGGGCCCTGAAAGTCGCATCCTGGCCCCCTCCAAACCCACACGTCCTAAAATGCCCGGGCAGCCCCCTCCCCACCTGCTTCTCCGCGAATCCCCATCTAGAGGTCCCTCCTGCTCGGAGACTCAGTTTCTCCATTTCGGGAAGCCGCGGACTGGAGGCCCGGAGCTGGAGCGATAGCGAGCCTCTCCCCCCCCACCCCCACCCCCCCATCTTCGCGATCCCGGCTCCTCCCCTCTGACAATGCCAAGGCCGCAGTGGCAGCGGCTGGAGCGCAGAGGATGCTTGCCCAGGGCGCCGATCCCTCCCCACGGGGCGCCGTCACGCGTGGGGAGGGACGCAGGGTGCTCGCAGCCTCTACTCCCCCGCTCCCTTTTGGGGGAGGAGGGATGGGGCGTAGGAGCTGGAGCCGAGGGCCTGGTGGCTTCCCCTCCCCCCGCTTCCCGGGGCCCTGACCTGATTACAGCCCCTCCCGGGACCCCCTCCATCCCCTGAGTCCCCGCCTCGCCCCCACCTGGCCGATCTGTAAGCTCTTGTACCCTTCCCTTCCGAGGTGCCGACCCTACAGAAAACCCCTCTTGGAGGAATGGGAGCCCTGGAAGGGGGTGCTCGTTTCTCCGGCCGCTGC